ACATGCTTACTCCACTTTTGTTCAAATTAACCAACCATTGATTGAAACAACCATTATTTTACCAAAAAAAAAATGTTAAACCACTTTTATTTGTACCATTATTTGTTTGAATTTCAATTTGTGACAAACAAAATTTTAAATTTTTCAAAATTTTAATGACAGCAATTTTTGTACCAATTTTAATCTGACAAATGAAATTTTAATTTTTTGTAAAATTTTAATAACACCAATTTTAGTGGCACCAATTATATTTGGACTAAATTGAATTTGTGACAAATAAAATTTTAATGACACCAATTTTTATTTGTATCAATTTTAATGTATGCCAATTAGTAGGGGTATACTATGTATTTATAGTATATGTGCCAAACTACTATAGGTTCAAAAACTACTATAGCTTTAAACTATCATTGTTTCAAACTATTTTCTGTTCAAACTACTATATGTTCAAACTTAATTTTGTAAAATTTTAATAACACCAATTTTAGTGGCACCAATTACATTTGGACCAAATTGAATTTGTGACAAATAAAATTTTAATGACACCAATTTTTATTTGTATCAATTTTAATGTATGCCAATTAGTAGGGGTATACTATGTATTTATAGTATATGTGCCAAACTACTATAGGTTCAAAAACTACTATAGCTTTAAACTATCATTGTTTCAAACTATTTTCTGTTCAAACTACTATATGTTCAAACTTAATTTTGTAAAATTTTAATAACACCAATTTTAGTGGCACCAATTACATTTGGACCAAATTGAATTTGTGACAAATAAAATTTTAATGACACCAATTTTTATTTGTATCAATTTTAATGTATGCCAATTATTAGGGGTATACTATGTATTTATAGTATGTATGCCAAACTACTGTAGGTTCAAAAACTACTATAGCTTTAAACTACCATTGTTTTAAACTATTTTAGGTTCAAACTTAATTTTGTAAAATTTTAATAACACCAATTTTAATCTCACCAATTTTATTTGGATCAAATTCAATTTGTATCAGACAAAAATTTAGTGGCTCTAATTTTATTGCATTTTATTTGCATTACTTTCAATTTGTGCCAAACAAAATTTTTATGTGAAACAAATAAATTATTATGTTTAGCTCGGAGAAATAGCAGAACAGTTTGAAAGTGAGAAAATAAAAAAAAAGAGTTTTCGGAAGCACTCTATATACCTACATAAATAAAATAGTAATTATAGAGGCTCATTTATTGGTTTATTTTGTAAGGTATTCAATAACAGATTGATGTTAGGAATGTCTTCCTGGTTGATTCCCACGTTTTCGAGAGATGGGGCGTGCATATATGAAACGCATGAATCGTCTATATAACCATTGAGGCGAGAGAGTACCATACAGCCTAGGTGAACGAAAGCGTCCGTAAGGATGGAATGTGCAGTAGGTTGGCACACTATATACTTATAGTTGTATATACATATATAAATGCAAGAGAGTATTTCCCTCCAAAGATATATTGCCAGAGGCAATACACACACACATATATATACCCATAGTGGTAACAGGTTCAGTGTTAACGGTATTTCACTCCCACCATTAACTTCAACTACTCTTCTCTGACTTCCAACTGTCTTTGGCCTCCTCGGTCAAGGACACACAAGAAATTGGGTCACGGGCTCCACCGAAACTCCATGTCTTTCTTTACCATCAAAATCATAATACGTGTGTGTGTGAGAGTATTTGGATACTACGCTTGGGTTTGGGACACACTTGAAACAGGTGCTCTACCTCATAAATATATTTGCATATGTATTTTCAAAAAAAAAATTCCTTTTTCTAATATGTCTAACGGTAAAGGAAGAAGAGATTTGAGAAAATATTTTTCGAATTAGAATTCCAAGTGTTAAAATATCTTTAGTGTATTCTCCTACTTTTTTGCGGCTAAAACCGTTTACAGTTAGTACAAAATTTGGTACTCTATAAAATTTGGAATGCCGAAATTTAGTTTTGATTCTAGTTAATTAAAATATAAATGGTTTGAACCCATGGTAGTTTGAATGAATAGTAATTTTTACTAAAAATAGTTTGGAGCTTTGGTAGTTTGAACCTATAATAGTTTGGAACAATGGTAGATTGAAATATAATAATTTTTGAACGTATAATAGTTTTGAACAGTGGTAGTTTTAACTAATGATAGTTTAACCATATAGTAGATTAAAACGATGGTAATTTGTACTAATTACAATTCGAACCATTAGTAGTTTTGAACCTACAGTGGTAGGTATATTTGTAGTTTGAACCTATAGAATTTTGAGACAATGGTAGTTGTAACCTGTTGTAGTTTTTGAACATATAATAGTTTAAAACAATGATAGTTTGATCCTACAGTAGTTTGAACCTATAATAGCTTGAAATAATGTTAGTTTGCACTTACAGTACTTTAAACAATTGTATTTTAAACCTATAGTACTTTTTAAACGTATAATAGTTGGAAAAATGGTAGTTTTTACTAATGGTAGTTTGAAACAATGGTAATTAGAACCGTTAGTAGTTTCTACCTACAGTAGTTTCAAACACTGGTTATTTGAACTAATGATAGTTTGAAACAATAATAATTTCGACTAATGTAATTTGACCCTAAGCTATTTTAAAACAACGGTATTTTAAACCCAGGAATAGTTTAAATCTTTGGTAGTTTTTAACAATAATAATTTAAACGAATATTAGATCAAAAAATAGTAGTTTGAACCTATGATCATTTGAACCTATTGTAGTTTGGATCTATTGTAGTTTGCGAAACAATGATAGTTTGATCCCATAGTAGTTTTTGAACTTATAGTACTTTGAAACAATGGTACTTTGATCTTGCAGTAGTTTTTAACCTATGGTAGTTTGAAACAAAGATAGTTTGAACCTACAGTAGTTCGAAACAATGGTAGTTTGAACCTATTGTACATTGAACCTAAAATAGTTTAAAACAATTATAGTTTGAACATATAGTAGTTTGAAACAATTGTAATTTGAACCAACAGTAGTTTGAAACAATGGTAGATTGAACCTATAGTAGTTTAAAGCGATGGTAGTTTGATCCCACTGTAGTTGTAAACAATGGTAGTTTGAACCTATAGTAGTTTTTGAACATATAGTACTTTGAATGTATAGTAGTTTGAACCTAAAATAGTAGTAAACAATGGTAGCTTGAACTTATAGTAGTTTTTGAACATAAAAAATTTGAAATAATGGTAGTTTGATCCTATAGTAGTTTGAAACAATGGTAATTTGAATCAAAGGTAAATTTAAAAATTACTAATTAGAAAATATTTGAATTAATAACTTTGTAACTAAATTATATTAAGTTATTAATTAATTTGTCTATTTAATATTTATTAAATTATTAGATTATTAATTTAGTGAATTATTAAATTAATTAGTTATTAAATTATTAAGTTATCATATTATTATTATTATTATTATTATGTCAATTTAAATTAAAATAAAAAATTATTACAACAATTTTGATAAATATCAGTAAAAGCAATGGTCATAAAATTTTTGCAATTTTCTTTGGCAAATAAATAAAAACTTTTTTTTAAAATCATCTCTACTCAAGCAGGTCATTAATATCTTTTCTCTCTTTAAACTAAGACATAGTATATAAATTTTTAAATAGATCCTTAAGTAACAAATTTAACTACTACAAAACAAATATCTTGAGAAAGTTAATGTTTTGTGACATTGACATTAAAAAAAAAAAAAAAAAAAGTTGAAATATCTGTAACAAAAAAAAAACTGACAAAAGAAAGGGAACAATAACTTAATGCCAGAAAAGAGTGTATATTCTAAGAGTCTATAATAATTGCTCTCCTTTTATATATATAGGTATATATATATATATATATAGAGACGAAGAGCCACTTCCGGTCTCATTTTATTATATACTATACAGATTTGACATTAAATTGTTAGCATCTCTTATAATAATTTCAAGTCGTTTGTTATATTATTCATTGCTCTTTTTTTTTAAAAAAAAACTCTTGGCATTGTAAACTCCTTTTCTTTCTGCATAGAAAATTAAAACGTGAAAACTGAAGAATTTCTATACAATAATTTAGTTAATTTAATAATTTTCTTTTCATTACGAAAAACGATATTTTAATAAATATATAAATACAAATAAATCATAAATATTATAAAAATATATTTATATTTATAAATAAATATATATATATATATATATATATATAAATATTAAATAAAAAAAATTTGAAAATATAAAAAAATAATAATAATTTAAATTAAGAAATAAACTGAAAATTGTGAACTATATTGAAAGTGTTTGTTTACTAGAATTATTAACAAAAAATAAAGAAGGGAAAAAAAAATTAAACTCGACGCGTTCATAAAAGGAATACAAAATCCTAAATTGAAAGTATCATTTACGTTTTAAAACTGGGTTACCTTGACATTATAAAAGTGTCCTAAAAAGATACACGCAAAAATAAATAAATATAATTGCACGCAATAGAGATTAATAATAAAAATAATTAAATGTAAACCAAAAAGTTGCTTTGAAAATGTAGATAATTGAAAGGAAAATACTCGTTCTAGAAAGTATATAAAATATATATATATATAGGTATATATTAACATACTTATTAACATGACTAATTTGTAACTAGTTTCACAAAAAGATATATGTCAAGAGAGAAAAAATTGAAACCCTGTTTTATTTTTTACGTAACCAGAAAAGAATTGATTTTTTTTTTAAATTAAAATGTCAAGAAAATATTGTTTATACAATTCCTCTAATTTATTATAAACAATAAATAAAAATTATGAAATATTTTTAATTTATTATTTAATTTTTGAGGAATATTTAATTATATTTTTTTAAATTTTAATAAATAGAAAATAAATTATTTTTATAAATAAAAAATAAAATTGTTAAGATAAAAAATAAATTATTATAATAAATAAAAATAAATTTTTTTTTTTTTTTTTTGAATAAAATTATAAAAAAATATTTACCGCAAAATGGCACGCCTTCCGGTGTCCAGGAACCATCAGCCTGGCATTGTCTTCTCGCTGGTCCAAGAAGTTCAAAACCCCTATCACAATAATATGTTGATATTGTTCCCGTTTGATAATAATCCCTTAATGAAATTTCTTCATCATCAATTGCATCATCAGTTTCCGCTAATGTAAAACGAATACTGCTGTGTGCTGGTGCTCCTGGATATCCACAATTACCTCCAAGTCCACCTGAAATTTACAAAAATTCAATAATTTATTATAAAATATATAATGAGAATGTTTATAATGAAAAATAATTTAAAAAAAAAACCGTGGATCAGGTATTCATATATTTAATAAATATTCAACTATTTCCTTAAGATTAATCTTCACCATGAATATAATATATAAAAGCCCCACAACTCTGTGCCACCTGTCAGTGATAAATAATATAACTAACAGCTGTAGATTCATAAAACAACCGTTGCAAGTGGCGAAAAAAAAATCTTCTTTCAAGTCGTATTTCATGATCTTATATATGCTAATATCAACATTTTTTTTTGAAAATACTGAATTAATAGGTAAAATCAATATTTTTCATTTATGATTTTCATTTTTTTCCTAATAATAATTATAAAAATAATTATAAATTTTTTTAATTTAATTTATTTTAACAAAATTTATAGTTAAATACTTAATAATAATAATAATAATAATTTTTGACCACTTACAAAAATCGAAAAATGATTCAGAAAAAAATTATGCCTCGGGCCTAATTTAATATTTAACATTAACAACATATGCTTGTTTGGCAAAATAAAAAATTCAAAGGAATTGAAAATTCTGCTAAACAAAAATTCTACTAAATAATAACTTTGCTAAACCAAACTTGAACGAAATTTGTTTAAATAAAAAAAATTCTGCTAAATGGAAATTCGGTTAAATAATAATTATTATAAATATTGATAAATTAGACGAATTAGAAGTCGATAAAAAGAAAATTTGATTTTAAAAAAACTCGGCTAAATGAAAATTTAGTTAAATGAAAAATTCAACGTGAACAAAATGTTAGTAAAATACAAAATTATACTGAATGGAAATTTGGTTAAATATTTAAAAAAAAATTGTACAAAATGATAATTTGGTCAAATAGAAAGTGAACGTAAACAAAATATTAGTAAAATATGAAAAAGTGCAAAATGGAAATTCGGTTTAAACAAAAATTCTGCTAAATAAAAATTCAGTTAACTAAAAAATCTACAAAATAATAATTAGGTAAATAAAAAATTCTGCTAAATGGAAATTTGGTTAAATAAAAAGTCCACAAAATAATAATTAGGTAAATAAAAAATTCTGCTAAATGGAAATTCGGTTAAATAAACATTTTGCTAAATAGAAAATTTTGTTAATTAAAAATTCTACTAAATGGAAATTCGGTTAAATAAAAATTCGACGAAAAAGTAAATTTTATTAAATAAAAATTCTGCTAAATGAAAATTTGGTTAAATAAAAAATTTACATAATAATAATTGTTTAAATAAAATATTCTGCTAAATGGAAATTTGTTTAGTTAAAAAAAACTCTACAAAATGAAAATTTGGATAAATAAAAATTTTGCTAAATGGAAAATTCGTTAACTAAAAATTCAACTAAATGGAAATTTTCGTTAAATAAAAATTTGACAAAAAGGGAATTTGATTAAACAAAAACATTGCTAAATGAAAATTCAGTTTAAACAAAAATTTTACAGGAAAATTATAATTTAAATAAAAAATTAATTCCACTAAATAAAAATTTGGCTAAATTAAAATTCTATAAAATAATAATTTGTCATAATAAAAATTCTGCGAAATGGAAATGCAGTTAAATAAAAATGAAAATTTAATTGAATAAAAAATATAAAAAATAATAATTTGTTAAAATAAAAATTCGTCAAAAAAGAAAATTTTGCTCAATGAAAATTTAGTTAAATAAAAAAAATTTTTTTTAAAAGATTTGGCTATAAATAATATTGTCATTATTACACTGTTGTTTTTGCTGTTCTACATCAACTATAACAGGTAATAAAATAGAAAAAAAAGAAACAATTGAAACGTAAAAAGAAAGTTTTTTTTTTTTTTGTTATCAATGTGGCAAGCAAGTGATTTTCAAAGTAAATTCTAAAACGTTTATTTTACCAACAATAAGAGATAGGTATTCATTACGAAACAAAAAAGCATTTTAATTCATTACATGTCGTCGACAGTTCTTGCTATATAGTTACGGAAGCGATAGGCCAAGAAGACAACATCCCGTATGTGACATAATAATATGTATATACTCGCGAGAGATAGAAAGCCATTAATTTCGTAAAATGTAACATTTATTGTTTTCACTTTCATGTTTTGTTTAAAAAAAAAGAATCCTTGCACAATTATATTATCATCTTTGTCCTTTGTGACATTTTCATTAAGAAAATCCATAAACCTAAATATATATATATTTAAAAAAATGCATTTAAAAATAATATACACTTTCATTATGAATAAATTTAAGTATTCAATTATTATTATTATTATTATTATTATTATTATTCTTTAGAAAAATTAGAATATTTAACTCCCGCATACACTTTAAAGGTAATTTCAATAAGTGTGAGATTTTAGAAGAAAAAAACAAAAAAAAATAAATTGTTTCCAACAATCTTTTTAAAAGCCCCGGAAACGGGAAAACACTAAAAATTTGTGTTTCCTCCTCTCTTGCAACTTTTCTATACTCACGATGGCTTGAGAAAAGAAATTATTCTCAACAGTTGAATGCTTTCACTGTCACTCATTATCGCGAAAAAGTGGTAATTGGTGACGGTTTGCCAGATATAAATTTGTATTTAATGTAAAAGTCAAACAAACAATCGATGGAAAGCAAATTTATGCACAAAACATTATTTTTTTCTCTTATTTTCTGAAAAGATAAAAAGATATAAAAACGCACATAAAAAAATCGTGTACGTATCAAAAAATAATAATTTTTTGAATTTTTCTGGGAAAAATCAAATTTTTAGTTTTATCTGATAGTAGTTTCAAGAAATAGTAGTTTAATCCAATAGTAGTTTTTAAAAAAGTAGTTTTTATAAATAGTATTTTCAACCGAGAGTAGTTTTCATAAATAGTAGTTTGAACCAATAGTAGTTTTTATAAATAGTAGTTTGGGCTAATATTAGTTGGAACCAATAGTAGTTTAGGCTAATAGTAGTTTTCATAAATAATGATTTTTATAAACAGTAGTTTTTATAAATAGTAGATTCTATAAATAGTAGTTTGAACCAAGAGTAGATTGGAATAATAGTATACTTGGAACCAATAGTATTTAGAACCATAATTAGGTTTTATAAATATTAGTTTGAACCAATAGTAGTTTTTATAAATAGTAGTTTGAACTAATAGTAATTTGGGCTCATAGTAGTTAGAACTAATAAGAGTTTAATCCAATAGTAGTTTTCATAAATAGTAGTTTATATAAACTGTAGTTTTCATATAGTAGTTTGTATAAATAGTAATTTTCATTAATAGTCGTTTTTATAAATAGTAGTTTGAACCAATAGTAGTTTAATCCAATAATCATGTTCATAAATAGTAGTTGGAACCAATAGTAGTTTAGACTAATAGCAGTTGGAACTAATAGTAGTTTGGGCTAATAGTAGTTAGAACGATTAGTAGTTTAGTCTAATAGTAGATTTCATAAAGGGTAGCTTTTATAAATAGCAGTTTGAACCAACAGTAGTTTCGACTAATAGTAGTTTGAGGCAATAGCAGTTTTTATAAATAGTAGTTTTTATGAATAGTAGTTTGATCTAAGAGTAGTTTGAACTAATAGTAGTTGGAACCATTAGTAGTATAATCCAATAGTAGTTTTTATAAATAGTAGTTTGAATCAACAGTAGTTTGTACTAATAGTAGTTAGAACCAATAGTATTTTGAGCCAATAGTAGTTTGGACTAATAGTATTTTGAACCAATGGTAGTTGGAACCAATAGTAGTTTAATCTAATAGTAGATTTCATAAATGGTAGTTTTTATAAATAGCAGTTTGAACCAACAGTAGTTTGTACTAATAGTAGTTAGAACCAATAGTAGTTTTTATAAATAGTAGTTGGAACCAATTTATAAAATTTGTAGTTTTAGTCGCAGTAAAGTTAAAATGAACAAAAATTAAAATAAAACAAAATATTTGGTAGAATGATATGTGCAATTATTGCAATGGTATTTTTTAATAATAGACAGTGAATTTTTTTTTAAAAAGTTATATAGACTGCGATTATTACCAAAGAAAATATTTGCTGTCTAGAAAGTTTGTAATTGGCAAAAAAGTAAATAAAGAAGAAAAAAAAAAACTCCCCCGATGGTGTAAGGCGAATGAAATATAGATGAAAAAAAAAATTTAGAAGCAATTATTAGATTCCTGTAAAAATTTTATAGAAGAGATGATTATAAGCATTCGATATAAATCATACAGAAGAAATCAGGTTATTGTATTTTCTTTCTTATATTGATTTTATTTATATGCGAGCAAAGCCGCGTATATTTAAAGGTATGTTGAGAAAAAGAAAAAAAAAGATAAATATGCAAAGAAAATGAGAATTTCATTGAGAATAACAAATATATATATATATAGGTATGTATCTATTTAAACATAAAAGAATCAATGACGATTGAAATGATTTCTTCAGATCGGCCACGAGGTATATATATATATGATCATAATAGCGTGAAGGCCGATTCATGTCAAGATTAAGACAAATTTAAGCAAGCTTCCTCCCTGTCATCGAATTATCTCGAATATAAATAATAATTATTGCAAATTCATATTTATATTAATTGTGATACTAATTAGAATATTTTTTTTTTTTTTATTATATAGGAAATTTTTTTCTTTTTTATTATTCTTTAAACTTCAAAATAATTTATAATTTTTTTCAAATTAAAAATTAAAATTAAATTATCAAAGAAAATTTATTTTTCACATAGAAAATTTTCTTTACTAAAATAAATAAAATTAAAAAAATTAAAAAATTTTGAATTAGTAAGAATTCATTCAGTAATTTAAATTACATAGTGAAATAAATTTTACTAATTTTTAGTCACACGGAAAAAAATCTTTAACTGAAACAGCGTCAAATTTCACTGGAACAGCAATATATTTTACTAAAATAACGAAAATTTTCGCTATTCTAGAAAAACGTATAGCTGTTCTAGTTAAAGATTTTTTTTTCCC